TGTCTTGTGCTTGTTTGTCTGTTGCTTTTTCCAAGGACCTAGGTCCTGGTAAGTATACGTATGATCCAAGGATATAAGTCCTGGTAAGTATACATATGATCCAAGGACGTAGGTCCTGGTAAGTATACATATGATCCAAGGGCATAAGTCCTGGTAAGTATACATATGATCCAAGGACGTAGGTCCTGGTAAGTATACATATGATCCAAGGACGTAGGTCCTGGTAAGTACAGTATACATATGATCCAAGGACATAGGTCCTGGTAAGTACAGTATACATATGATCCAAGGACATAGGTCCTGGTAAGTACAGTATACATATGATCCAAGGACATAGGTCCCGGTAAGTATACATATGATCCAAGGATGTAGGTCCTGGTAAGTGTATGCATGATCCAAGGACAAAAGTCCTGGTAAGTATACATATGATCCAAGGACGTAGGTCCTGGTAAGTACAGTATACATATGATCCAAGGACATAGGTCCTGGTAAGTACAGTATACATATGATCCAAGGACATAGGTCCCGGTAAGTATACATATGATCCAAGGACGTAGGTCCTGGTAAGTGTATGCATGATCCGAGGACAAAAGTCCTGGTAAGTATACATATGATCCAAGGACGTAGGTCCTGGTAAGTACAGTATACATATGATCCAAGGACAGGTCCTGGTAAGTACAGTATACATATGATCCAAGGACATAGGTCCCGGTAAGTACAGCATACATATGATCCAAGGACGTAGGTCCTGGTAAGTGTATGCATGATCCGAGGACAAAAGTCCTGGTAAGTATACATATGATCCAAGGACATAGGTCCTGGTAAGTGTACTTATGGTACAAATACATCATGGAAGGCATACACATACTATTATGAAGATAATTGTGGATGTGTACAAATGCAGGTATATGCACAAAGGCTGCGATAACCGAATTCAAAAGAAACAAGAACTTTTGGATTCCAGATGATTCCAGAACTCAACAACTGCAAATGCAAGTTAGTTATACACTGCACAGTTGACTGCACTCTTGGTGAGCAAGTTTACTTTAAGTTTGGCACTCAAAGCTGAACACAGCGCAGTTGGGGCCCTGTGCTCAAGCACTGATTCTGCCCACTCCCCTCCTCTTAAAAAAGCCCTTGGGGAAGGAACCTCTTGAAATGACTTGTTATTGAAACTTTGTCCTGAATTCCAGAACTCAAAAAAAAACAAATGCAAGTGAGTGCATGAGAGTTAGAACGTAAATGAACAGTCAGTAAATCCAGGCCCCTCTGAGCCAACAAGGGGTCTAGGACACCTGAGAAGGAACACTGTCTTAAAAATCATTGAGACTCCTTGCCACCTTCCCTGGAAATCTCTGACATTGGGAAACTCTTGAATTAGCAAACAGGTTTTGTACCAGAACTCAAGGAGCTGAAATCAAAAAGAGCTAAGTCAAGATTGAATGCACTCTTGGACATTTTTGGTGACTGTAGTAAGATTCCAAGGTGGCTCTATGGGATAAATGGGGAATGCCAGAATGGTGAAATAAAACCTTGCTCTTCCCAACATAACTTATATTTAATGTATTTATGAAATGCTAGGATTTTTTTTTATCTTCATACACCACTTTCACATGAAGAAAGTCCTGGATTCCAGGACTAACCAACTTTAATAGGAAATGCCTTTAGGCATTGAAAGCTGGGCTCCAGACTCCTGCGCACAAGTAAAAGTGATCCCCTCCCCTCAAACCGTCTTGCAACATTACAGATCACATTTAGTTGATTTCATTTTTTCATAACAAAAAACTTGATTCCAGCACTTGACAGCTTCAAAGTGATCTCATGCACAGTTGAATGCACTCTTGGTGAACAAATTGTTTTTAGATTAAAAACCCGAAGCTGAACAATACAAAACTGAGGACCATGCTCCTGTGCTCAAGCAATGACTCTGCCCGCTCCCCTTCCCTCAAAATGTACAGAAGGAACCTCTTGAAATGACTGGACACTTTATTCAAACAGTTTCTCCATTCTGCAAATTAAGAACTTCAAACGCAAGTGAGTGCACGAGAGTTAAAACGTAATTGAATGCATCATTCCTTTTCCAATTGTGCAGTAGATACTTAAAAACTGAGATCCAGGCTCCTGTGAGCAAGCGAGGTGTCCAGGACACAGGAGAATGAACACTGACTAAAAGAAAAACATAGTTTTGATTGAGACTATTTGCCAAACCAGGATTTGTTTTACTATTGCTACAGGAAGTAGTTTACCAAAACAAAATTAACCTGCTAATGCACTGTATGAGGCTTCTAAGGGGGCTTTTAATGCAATTTTGCGTGTCCTTGACATGGCAATGGGTGAATCCTGGAACCCAGGATTTTTGCATAGCAAATCGTTCTTTTTTCATACGAACATAAATTGTAAGGGGGTCCTTGGGGAGGGTAGAGTATTTTCCCATCATCTTGGCATTCCCCATTTACCCTGGGTATCTCACAAAACAAATGCAAAACCCACCAACATATTCAAGTTTGACTTAGTTGTTTTTAAATTTAGCTCCTTGATTTCCAAAATCCACATATATATATATACACGTGTGTATACACAACCTGCTTGCTAGTTCAAGAGTTTCCTAATGTCAGAGGTTTCCAGGGAAGGCCCAGGACTCCATAACTATGATGTTTGGTGGTTTTATGGTATGTTACATTTCTATGGATGCAATGTTGTGTAGGTATATGTGTTCATGTGCGTTTTATTTTTCATGCATTAATGTGTGAAGTCATGCGAGATGTATTACCTAGTTTGCCACTAAAATGTGACATCATGTTTATGATTACATGCATGTTTATAAGTGCATGCATGTTTATAATTACATCATGTCCACATCTCAACTGTCACTTCCTCATGAACAAACTGTCACTTCCAATGGCTGGATCAACGTAACTTCTGAAACCCATAGAAAATGAGGATTTCTGAGCTACTTGTCCCGCTCCAAAACGCGGTTCTTGGGCGAGGAAAGACCGCGCAAAACCACAGCCCCCGGACAAGGAAACACCATGGCAGTGAAGGACGGAGAAGGCGCAAAAAAGGCGGCGAAAAAGTGCCTAACGTAACTTCTGAAACCCATAGAAAATGAGGAGATTTCTGAGCTACTTGTCCTGCTCCAAAACGCGGTTCTTGGGCGAGGAAAGACCGCGCAAAACCACAGCCCCCGGACGGGGAAACACCATGGCAGTGAGGACGGAGAAGGCGGAAAAAAGGCGGCGAAAAACTGCCTAACGTAACTTCTGAAACCCATAGAAAATGAGGATTTCTGAGCTACTTGTCCCGCTCCAAAACGCGGTTCTTGAGCAAGGAAAGACCGCGCAAAACCAAGTAGTAGTAGTAGTAGTAGTACCTCTTCTTCCCTTACGCGCTCCCCCTTGCGTCGGCCGGGGTCGGCGGATTCAGCTTTTGTGAAAACAAGACCGGACGTTTTCTATCTCGCAGAGCTACCCCCTTTGTGGAGCCTAAGCCTCTGCAGAATTACAGCGCACTGTAAATCCATCAAACCGGCCTTCAGAATTCCGCAGAACATGTATAAGAACACTGCTGGCCCACGCTGAACCGCGGTTCTGGCACCATGGACCTTGGTTATGATCCACGAGTGCACCCAGTTCTGGCACGCGCCGTTAAAGAAACTATTTCCATGAGAGCTATGCTTTGAGGATCTCGAGATCGCAGATTTTTGCCTCCACGAGCCTATACGAGTGACCATTCCCTGACAAAGCACACCTGCAGCTGGTGTTTATGTCCGGAGAAAATCGAGGTGTGACTTGGACGGAAAGAGATCTCGGATCGTTGGAGGCACTTCGCTCGTATAGGCTCGTGGAGGCCAAGATCTGCGTTCTCGAGATCGCAGATCTTGGCCTCCACGAGCCTATACGAGCGAAGTGCCTCCAACGACATGGCGGCACACTTGAAAAGAGAAAGGCTATGTCTCAAATTTCCAATGACTACATGTTGGAGAACATCATCGGGCAGTTTCAAATCTTGAGATCTCACGGACGGTCCCTTCAAAAATTTCGAAAAATGCCACAACTGTTGAGGGTGTCTTGTCAAGCATGCCTACACTGTTTGCTCATGCCGCATGGTATTTTGTTTCCCCATGCGTCACTCTTGTCTTGTCCATTTCCTGCCATCTGAGCCCCGGAATGTTTGATTCACATCTATGGAGCAAAGAGGTCAACAAGGTCTGCACGTGAAACAATGAATTCCCATGGAGCAACACAAAGCATACTCGCTGAAGCTCGAGACTGGGATCGCGACTCCGAAGCTTGCGATAAGAAAGCACCATCCTCTGGCGAATGACCTACAAGCTCAAGACTCAACTGCTGCTTCACGAACAACGTCTATCAAAGAATGGCGAACATCCAAACAATACACATGCTATATATAAATACATCAACTGCACTGCGAAACCAGCATCAGGTCAGTTTCATTGTCAACACGACACAGCAAGTCGATCATCAGTCAACTTCACAGCGAAGTGCATTTCTCTTTTCATCAAGGTAAATGCTGTGTGCAGAGATCCAGAGATGACAGTCAACGAACGTGCCGGCTCCAGTGTTGGTCTAATGTCAGTTTTACGGGATGCCTTTGAAGTCAGGTAGATGTTTTACATGTTCTAACTCTAACTTCATGACGCAACGCCTGCTCCCCGCTCGGACAGTCCCTACTGCGAGAAACATACGTCAGGCGTCAGGTCATGTTTTACATCTTCTAACTCTAATTTCATGATACAATGCCTGCTCCCCGCTCGGACAGTCCCTACCGCGAGAAACATACGTTGGGTCATGTTTTACATCTTCTAACTCTAATTTCATGACGCAACGCCTGCTCCCCGCTCGGACAGTCCCTACCGCGAGAAACATACGTCAGGTCGCAGTGCAGTATACCGTCGAAATAAGATGACCATGTCGAACAAAGACATCCGGTAAATCTAAACAACGCTACATGGCAGCTGACGAAGCTCCCCGCCAGCAATGCTAAGCAAAAAGATCAGCAGACATTTCATCTGCAGACAAATGCTGTGACACCCAAGGGATGCACTGCCATGAAAGTCTATGCACATACTTCAAGGCCTTCCGCTCGTCCACGCAGGCCTGACCTTCAAACTCCCGCATCCGCTGCACCAAAAGAGGATTGTGTTCGTGCAGAAACTTTTCGAACACATTGCGAGGCGGCAAATCCACTATCCACAGATCTTCCAGCTTGGTTGGCCTTGACAACATCACGTACATAGCCAAGCCATAGTCCGCCTGACTCATCCAGGACGGTTTGGACATGAAAGCAAGCAGCCCTTGTCTGGCAGTGATGCCCTGCAAACCGTAGTGCGTGAGAACGTGACGAGGTGCCAGTGGCAACTGTTTGCGATGAACCTGCATAAATTGATTGCCCCCAAGAGGAAGATCCCAGGCCTGATCACATGTAACGGGACGCAGCCAAACGTGTCCCTTCGGAGCACTGCCATCTGGCAATTCAATGGCACGATATTCCGGGTCATCGATCTCCACCAAGACGGCCAACGGCTGATATCGCAAAACGACACGTCCACTGCTGTTTGAAATTACAGGTTCCTTCGGGTGCAACTTAATGGAGCGAACAATGACCGGCAACTCTCGACTCAGCATCGGCATGTCCAAAATGCAACTAACACGTGCTGCCATCCCTTCATACAAAGGACAAATGCCCATGAGATACTGCGTTCTTGTCATGTTCACAACCTGCAATGCCTTCAGGCTCTGCTCCCTTGTCAAATCTGTGGGCCCCGATGCACGATCAATAGCTTGCACCAAGAAAAGAGTCGTGGACCTCTGTTGAGCTTCCCAAGCCACCCGCAAATGCTGTAAACGAGCAACCTGTTCCCACGCCAGGCCACCCCAGTGAGCACTCAACAACCTTGAGCGCAAGGAATTGTCAGAAAAAAGTTGCTCTCGGCTGATCACTCGAGATTCCAAAGCTTCCCACAATGCATCCTCCAGATGTTCGCCTCGCCGCATGGACAAAAGAATCCTCACAAGCTGCTGTCCGGATGCACACTTCGAAAAACGACCGGATCCAGTGAAGTGCACAACTCGCTGGAGCGATTGCTTGAACGCGATCCGTCCAAGTTCTGAGGCATTGCTGGTGCGTTCAGCCGCCTCCTTCTCCACGGCCTCTTCGGCATCGCTTTGGTCTTCTTGCTCTTGAGGCGGTGCAGGATCAGTAGCTCGTGGCGCATCCACCCATTCGCACAAGGATGCTTGCGCAGTGGGTCGCAATTGTAGAAAGTCAGCAACTTGCACACCAATGGGCACCTTCCCAAACCACTGCTTCAAGTAGTCGCCCATGTCAAGCATAAGTCGAGCTTGTCGAACAGTGGCAAATCGAAGCGAAGCAGCATGGTACACATCCGAAGGAACCATCGACAACTCGTCCAACAGCATAGCCATGATGCCTTCGATCTTCTTTTCGATCGGGCTGCCCTTGCTCTTCGCCGAACGCAAGGAGCGGCGATCCAAGCTGCTGCTCTTGTGCACATTGGCCCACTTGTGCAAAGTTTTGGCCTCAGGCCCCAGGAGGCGAACAGCAGCGTGAGTCGGAGCACCAGCAACATAACCATCCTGTCCAAAGAAGCGTCGAAAGAGTGGCCTCAATACTTTGCTGTATGCATACGTCTTTCCAGATCCACCAGCTCCGAGCCAAAGACAATTGCACCTTTCATTGCACGCACCATCCGCAATGCAATTGTCCGGATTGCTTCGGTTAAGCCACATCTGTTCCATGACCCAAGCAATGGGCGCAATGGCCAAAATCTGTTGGCGATTCAGACTGTGCTCCACAAGCAAGGCAGAAGCATAATCACTCGGACCCACATTCCTCTGGTTCAGCTCCACCAAAAAGGCATCTTCCGTCTCTGGCAAAGGCCGAAAAACATGATCTGCCATCATCTCAGTATCCTCTTCACCACCTGCTGCATGAAGACCCACCAACGAGAACACAACAAGCAAACGAAATTCTCCCCCCGAAAAAAAAAATAAACAACAGAATTGACATATTCAGCAAATCAGCTATATGTTACAACGACAAAAAAGAAAAACAAAACAAAACTCATCCACAACCACAAATTAAATCAAAAAAACAAAGAAAAGAATCAGTAAAGCTCCGCCTCCAACGCAAAATTCCAAATATTGCTTCTGCAGCATCAAAGACCTCTGGGCTTCGGCGAACGTCCAATTACGCTCCAATCCACTGGCTGCGTTGCCTTTGATTCCCAAATCAATCCTCGCATCCGGAACACCTCCCAAACCATTCACAAAGTCACGCAAACGCTGCAACGCATCCTGCAACACCGCAGCTACAGCTACATGATTGTTTGTCGGTAACATATGTTCTCGTCAACAAGGCCATATCACAAAAGCTCGGTACCACATACTGGTGATCATGGAACGTATCATATCCTTTTAGTAGACATTTTCCACACGGATGACTACTTACAGCTTGCTAGCATGATGCAGCAAACAACGCATGTTGCAACACAAGGCATATCATGCTTTATTCGGCACATCTCACACCCGCTGAAAGATGAATCATCAACAACGTTACACAACAACAGCTTAGTACCATGATGCTGCGAAAAACATATATCATCTCCTTTTATCAGGGAAATTCCCACGAACATCGCCCAAAAAGCTCGATACCATGTCCTGCAATACAGATGGCTTTCGATTGCCCAACACCTTCCAGGAGGCTCCGAGGTGCAAGTAACAGAGGTCATAGAAGTGCATTAGGCATCACGTGTCGTGATGCCACAGTAGCTTCTGCACAAAAAAAATCCACAGAATGCATTGTGCTCCAAACAAAAGAAAAAAGCCGTTGCCAGTAAGACCATGCTATTCTCAAAGCACCAATGCAGCAGTTTAGCTGTTGACTTTGAATCGATGAGCCAAAAAAAACGCAGGAAGCGGGGGCGGAAGTTTCCTGATATATGTTTATACGTACGTGTGCCAACATCTATTTTTAATTAGTTGGCACACGTACCATGCATATCTACATGTACATACTTATATATATATGTGTGTATAGTAACTTAAACCACATCTTGATCGTTTGTAAACATATCTCGGTCTGGAATGAAGAAACTTCAAAGAAGATCCCCCTTGATTGGTCGTTTATGAATGGATGAACGCGTGTCCACTATGGAATGGAAAAACCATGGTCATTTCATAAACGCCCCAGTGTGGAAAAGTGAACAAAAAACCTTTAAATGGTGCCATGTTGGAATATCCATAGAAGGAAGGTGGTAAATCCATATTTCATAAACCTGTATTTTCCTCGGAATATATTAGGCACAAAATCCCCAGATCCATTTCATCATGCAATGCTAGTTGTTTATCGATTTTAGCTACGAGGACAAAGAAATCAATTGTAACTTAAATCTTAGCTTGTGCTCATTGTGGAATCCAAAAGCACTAAAGAGGACAGCCATCGCCAATACCATTGCTGGCCATTTTGCAACCTTGTTCGATCCCCACTGATAAGGAAAAACTGTTTTCCTAAAGAGTGAAGGGCTTGAATTGTTTCTTCTGATTTTTTTTTAGTAACCCTTCTCATAAGGGCTTTAAGATTGAGAACAACCCGCCTGGAAGATCTTCTGTTTTTTGAACATGGAGGATGGGGACTGTAGCTTCAGGAGAAATTCTTTGGAATCAGAAAAAAAACCCTCAATCTTAACACCCCTTATAACTTCGTTTCAACCAATGATATTATCGGTGGAAATTCAGGAAGTCCCATCATTAATGTTCAAGGAGAAATTGTTGGATTTATTTTTGATGTAAATGCTTACTTTATCCGGGCAAGTAAAGGAATTCAGGATCAGATCATTTCTTCTCAGGAATTCGACCATTTTCAAAAGGATTATGAGATGGCCGAGGCCTCTTACAACAAAGCCCTTGCATATTGGTGGTAATCCATGCCATAAAACCCGAAAAAGGATCCATTCCATAAAAATACCCGTACCCAACCATTACATAAACCAATTTTTTATGGGTGGCTACCCAACAATCAAGGGGGACCAGAGAAGTAACATCAACTAACCACTCAATGAAGATCGTTGGGCTACATGCTGGTATTTGTTCAATCCAATTTGTTTCCACATGATCTTGAAACGAAAAATCGGTTTCACAAATTTGCCCAAACCCAATCTGTTTCCAAAGGGGCCTCGCGTAGCTCCTTAGCTTCATTTTCACGCGCGCCTGGGTTGTCGCCCATGCGCTGTGCACAGCCGGGAAACTCAGCTTGTTGCATCGCCTTTGGCGATATTGTCCCAATGGATCGCAAGATACAGCCCATATCGCTGATAGAATCTTGTCACAACTGTTCGGCCGTGGCATGCAGATGCCAAACGAGTTAGGTACCCTAACATGGATTCCTCTGCAAGGGTCTTGTGTCCTCTGGAGTTCTCGTCCGAGGTTTGTAACCCAAAAACCAAGTGACAAAATGAATGCCATTTTGGCCTGATCTTGTAATTGACTCTGCGGTTCTCTAGATTTTGCTTGGACAACTGCGCGTAGCTTTGCAACGCTGCGGTGCCAGATTTGAAACCACGTTCCTGGAGTTCTTTTCCCAAACGGTGAGATGGGCGGTCAGTCACCCAAAGGTACTCACACATGCCCCAAAGAGCCAGCGCTCGGTGGTTGCAAGAAGTACCTTAGGATTGAAACCAAAATGGTTTGAGGGCATGTTTGCAAACACATTTTTTCATTTTTTGCTGACATTCGTGCTGTTGATCTACATGCCCATATAAAGCGCGTTTTGGAACAAAAATATTTCCAACAAGACATTTCAATCGTCTAACAAGATGCATCCACACTGGGTTGATATCTCTGTGGCCACACCAGAAAGGAAAAACAATATCGGTTTGCAATGTGCCGCCTTCACGTTGGAATCTAGAACAGGGTAGGAATTCTTGGAGTCGTTGTCTGAACGGCCAATTAAGGCCAGATTCCACACCGATGGTGGGGTCTCGATGCGTTGCTTCCTGCACCACCTTCTAAAAGCAATCCCCAACCGATTCAGGAGAAAATTTCCCCTATTGTCCATGCCGCGGATCCCAGCCGGAATCTCTAGGTCCACCCCTTCAAGGGATACAAGCGAAGTAATTCCTTTCGCCTTCAAGCGCTGTAGGATAGGGAGTTCCACCTGGGCGGTGTGGGGACCCTCCATGAACCACATGCATGATCATGGTGGGGATCATGCGAAGTTGAGAAAATGAAATCGATGTATATAGCTAACTTTCATGGTGGGGACAATTAAAAAAAAACAGGAAATCCACATTATATAAGCCAACACTTTCATGGTTGGGTTCATGTGAAATTGATAAAATGAATTCCATATTAACTAGTCAACACTGTCATGGTGGCAGTGAGGATCTTGCCAAAATTGGAAACAAACATGTGAGACCCATGTGGGATCAGCCAAGAGGCTAAATCACATAGAAAACTACCTGCGACATCCTTTCCCGTTCCTAGCAGTATGGTATGCGCGCTGTCCCAGCGAACGCGGTTGATGTCAAATCCCGGAACAGCTAGCCATGGTGTACGTTGTTGAGCAGGCGTCTCATTCAAGTAATCAGTGTGGTCCCTCATGGTTGATACCCAGGGTGCGTTCACCCGAAAATCAGAATAGATCAGTGGCATCAAATGTTCGGATGTTTTTTTGTGGGGCTGTGCTGCTCTGCATTGGTCGCAAACCTGTGTGCTTTGATAATTTCGCCTTTCAAAAACATGACTCAAAGCTCTTTCTTTCCAGTCTCCGCACTACGACTCGAAACCCCCCCGCCATCCCCCTGCGATGAGGGTGTTTGCTCTCTGTCCACGAATTCCTCTGAGTCGGTTTCCGTATTGGTCTACCTCTGCGAAGCGTCCGCTCAACAAAGCTTTGCCTCAGAACAGGCTCTGTGTTGCCTTTCATATGATGACTATTGAAAAATATATCCCAGCATGCCCTTTAATCTTATTAATCCTGGGGTTGAAACAGCCAAAATTCGTGGGAAATACTATAGATGCAAAAACAAGGTGGAATATTTCAAGATGCAATCCCACGCGATGCAGTCTACAATCACCTGGTTGGCTTTTTTTCGTAAAGATTTGGTAGGAAACCAGCGAAGTGGCAATGCTGCGAATGGATGTTTGCTGGTGGAAGCATCTGCCAGATTACTACTCCATAGCCAGATCAGCATTTCATGGTTGGTGTTGAATTCAGCACCGTCTGTAAACCACTTTACCTGAGATTGAAACCATTGAGCATCACAAGAATTGTGGGGTGTGATTTCGAAACCCAAAATATTTATGGATACAGGTTTCCAATGCATATATATATATTTATACATATGTGTAAGTGTATGAGTGTATATTTATGTATGACAACATGTTTATGTATCTACATATATATATATATATACATGTGTCTTTTTGAATGCTAGGTAGATTTGTCGATATGTGTACTTTATTTCATCCCAACACCATTTCTGAGGGAACTCCCCACTACAAATAAGAAAATTGGTTGTTGCCCACAAAACCAGTGTTGTTCACAGCTTGGTGCTGGAAACGTCTCGGCATCGAGGTTGTACCTCAGATGGTGGAAGCAGTGAGATTTTTCCTTTGCATCTGATATAGGGGTCATCCAAACTTTTAAACACACCTCCAAAAAAAGGCAAAGGAAAAATCTCACTGCTTCTGGTTGGCTCGAAGACTGGATGGCTCCACTTACAGGCCGGGTCTTGGCGGAAAGCCCCCCAAAAAGCAGAAGCTTTTTCAGCGGTTGCACCAATAGTGGCATTCCACAACTTTGCATTGTTCTTCTTCCAGATTTCATGGATGATGTCAGAAGCCAACAAAACTGGGACCTCCGTAGGTACCACCTCACCCTTGTCAGAATCCCATACATCAAGACACACTGAATGGGTCTGCAATTCACAATTGTAAAGAAATGGGATAGCCCTGTGAAAGTCCCTCTCGGCATTCTGTTCATGACGGCCCCAGCATGCGAGTGAAGCCAATGTTTGTATCGTAGATTGATCTAGCCCATCTTTGAATGCTGCATGAGCATACCGCTGCATCGCATTGACATGGAGTTCCTTGGGTCAAATTTGTGGGCCCCATTTTCAAAGAGATTTATGAAATATATTTACTGCAACTAGTACATGATATCAATGAGAATCAAACATAAACTCCTTGATACCACAAGGCCAAGTATCGCCCCTTGACACGTCCCAAATCAATTGCCTTGCCAACTCACTGTCGCCAGGATCATTGATGCGCCGGCGTTTGAAAGGAGCGCCTGGCCCGGGTCACAATGGTTGGAATGGGCTTGAATACCCGGTGCGATTGGGAAGATAAAGGAGGTTGCTATCTGGGTGAGATCAGAAACATATTGCCATAAATTACTGGTCAATAAGTATATATTCAAAATCTGTGGCTCGATATGATGCAAACTTTTTCTTGGAGTCACTCCCCATTGGCGGACTTTTTTTTCCCCCGGATCGCGGATTGATCACCAACATGGTGATTCACTGAGCGCACAGCAACACACAACCGATGGCCAATCAAAATTAGTTGGTGACCTGTAATCTTGAAGTATGAGACTACCATAGAATACCATAGATGATGATTTGTTTGTAGTTGCGTGGTCTAAGCTGCAAGGCGCTTAGGATCAAAAGTCAGAGCCAGACTGCATACCCCCACATTCATAGATGTTTTTTTGCAAACTATCGGAACATACTACAGATTGATCTAAAAATACTTACGGATGCTATAACTGTTTTGGTGATGGGGCCAAAATTGAATCTGGCGGGTCGGGCAATCTTAGCTGCTGGTCGCTGCCTGCTTCATGCTATTGGCAACCTTCTTACGTTTCACATACCATGTGCTGTACTGGGCGGCTTGGTCAAACAGGGGCTGGTACTTGGTCATGTCATCACACCCGTCAGTGGTCAACTTGTTCAGCTGTCTGAAAAGATCCGTCATAGAAGTGGAATGCTGCTGCAGGGCTTGCACAAGCTCGCCAGAGCACTCCAATGTCTCAATCGAAACACATAGGCTCCTGGCCTCCTCGGCTTCTTTCAGCCTTAGCAGTGCTTGGGGTGGACAGGAAAATGGTTTGGTGGAACACCTGCTAAAAACCAATTTATTGTCTAAAGTAATATCTTGTCTAAGCTTTCTAAATATAAGTATATAGAGATTCATTTTTTATTTGTAGATAGATAGATCGATCGATAGATAAATAGATTATAGAGATATAGATATAGATACAGGTATAGATATATGTAAATAAAAAGTATGGTGTTCTAACCTACAACAGTCAATGAGATAAGCAACACTTTGCTCTTCAACGCTGTGGCTTTCGCCAAAGGGGTAGGGAGCTTGTCAGGGTCAGGTGTTTCTCTGCTTTGGTCCCCATCCCCCCCTTTGCCCCGACCCCGTCCTCGTCCCTTGGGCACCCTCCCATGGCGACCGCCCTTGCCACCCCTATCCCCAGTCACCACAGGTTCTCCAACACCCACACCTCCCTCACTCATCAGGCCATGGATGGTAGGCCCTGTGTTGTCAGCAAAGTCACACCCCTCCTCTGTAAGGGCCAAAGCTTCAGTGTTGTCAACATCAACTCGGCTGGTAACATCCTGAGAATCTTCCCTTGTGCGTGCCACCTCTGCACTGGTTTCTTGGTGGATGATGTATTGGCGCAAGTCTTCCCGTGTTGGGAAATTGGGGTCTGAGATGTATTGCCCTGCCATCGTCTTTCTTCTAATGAGGTCATCAACATCGTCCTTGGTGTACTTCCCACAGGTTTCTAGCTGCTGCCGGTTCATGCAACTATCTTTGCTCTTGGAGCTTTGGGACTGCAGGTTTCTGCGGCGAATTTCCACTGCACACCTTGCAAAATCCTTTCCTTTTTGTAACCAGATCCTGAAAAGATCTAGTTTCTGGTCCGACCGAAACATGGGAATCAGTTCTTTGGACATCTTCGAGGGGTTCCTGGCCGCTCTCAGATATGCCATGTATTCTGGGCGATGGGTCACTGAGTTCGGTCCATTGTCTTCTTTAACTTTGTCAGTGATGGCATCCACTTGGTTTGACAGTGCGGATGGGGGCGGTGGCACTGCTGTGCTCTTAGGTTCGGGCGGTGGAGGGGGTGGGCTTGCTTCAGGGCTGGCCTCCACAGTTGCAAGACTTGGTGCCTTGCTTGCCTCAGGGCTGGCTGCTGCTGGGACTACCGTTGGTGACTCAACAAAGGCAACACTCCTGCGAAGGATGCTTGTAGGCTGTGCAGGGACTGCTGGGGTCGCTGGGGCTGCCTGTGCTGGGCTTGTTGCTGTGTCTGATGGCGTTTCAACTGGCGCTGCATGTGCTGTGCTTGTTGTTGGGCCGGGTGGCTTTGCAACAGGGGCTGCAAGTTCTGGGCTTGTTGTGCCTGATGGCATTGCAACTGGGGCTGCATGTGCTGGGCTTGTTGCTGGGCCTGGTGGCTTTGCAACAGGGGCTGCAAGTGCTGGGCTGGTTGCTGGTGGCTTTGCAACGGGGGATGATTTGCTTGCTGTTGGAAGCTGCGAAGGGTGAACACCTGCAGTGGCCTTGGGAAGCTGTGAAGGGTGAACAGCTGGACAGGCAATGCTAGGGGCCTTGCTTGTGTCTTTTGCTGGTAGCTCCCCCAAAGCCAAACGGTCACGCAATTGTTGACGGGAAAATGCCCAACTATGTAACCCAACCATGTCAAGGAAAGGTTCGTCCCTTCCAAACTCCCAGTCAACATCATCCCCACCCACTTCAAGTTTCACTGCCCGACAGTAGCTCTCATACTCCGGGTGCACTGGGGCTGCTGCGAACAATGCTTCAAACTGTGCTTCATCAAGTTTGCCGAACCTTGTGGTGATCATTTCTTCGACCCTTGCATCATACAGGTCAGTTGGTGTGATCCCCTCCTCTAACCCCAGTGCCAAATTCCCAGTCA